ATATATAACGCTTACTTCACACTTGGAACTCTCGATAATTCTCAAGATAACCCTTTATCTCATGAATTGCCATGGATAATGAGTAAGAAAAAGCACCTCAATAAAACAATTGCGCTCAGTTATTTTACTGAAGCAGTTATTAAGCTATAAATAGTAGCAAACAAATTACTGACGAATAAATGCTTAAGAATACCTTTAACAAGAAAATTGATCGTGTGATTAGTGTTGATTTCATGTTTACCAGTTGTTTTAACATGACAAAGATATGTTCCACTATCACTAAATTGTGCATTCTTGATTTCTAGAGACCAACAACGAGGTGGCTCAATACCATCCGTAAAAATCTCATCGTAAGGCGTATTAGTTGGTTCACGTATGATTGAGGAATTTTGGATGAAGTCAACCTGAAAAATTATTTGCTGTAGAATAATTACAGGCACTGTTCAACACATGATGGGGATGTTCAACGAACAGTACTACTCCAAAAATGAAACTTTTGTTAACGACAATGGAAACATAGGAATAACTTTTTCAGGTCTATCATTTCAGAGCAATACGTTAAAATGAGATAATTTTTTTTGACGATATGGAAAACAAAAAGGCTCTAAGTTACTCCGTCATCATCAATAAATGATCGTGGATCCATATTGATGCAACAGAACAAACTAGCATCTGCACCTTGGTAGACAGAATCTGAAGGTAACGCTCGTCCTTGTACCTTTAATTCTCCTACAACAAAACAATTTTCCGAAACTAAAAACGATTTCTTACATCAGTAAAGTTTTAAGTAATTGACCTATCACAAAAGATTACATTAATCCAAATAGAACATTCCAGGAAAATAATAACTATCTGGATACCAAAGGCTGAATTTTACAGCTCACTGATGACTGGAATATAAAGAAAACGTACAAACTAACGAACATTTCACTACCTTATGAATAATTTCCGACTTATTTTGCCTCATACTATTTCTTAAATAAGTTCTGCAAATAACAATGTAGTCATACAGTTCTTAATGATTAACATATCACATGTATAAAAAAACAAAAAGCATACTGCGATCACACTTGAATGGTAGTAATTCAATAGCTCCTTCTAATTTCCAGGGATCAAACATTGGAGGACAAACACAAATCCCCTATAACATAATATAATCAAATAATTTATAGACAGATATATAAGTTGCAAAAAAATTTTTACCCTTCAGCTATATCATGAAAATAAATTAGTATCTATGATGTTTCTAAAAAGAATAGAGCAAAAATGCTTTTAATGAAAATTTGACTTTTAGTTGGTATGGATCTTATAGTCTCTTTTACATTTACTGGTAATATTAAAAGAATCATAGAAGCTTTACATATCTGAAGTGTTACAAAAAAATTCTCACACATATTCAGTACTCAATAATGAGCGAAAAAATTCATTCTATTATAGAAAAATAAATTGCAGGCCTCGAGGAGACACAATCGAGTTGCAGACTATTAGTTGGGCTAATTATTTTACTTAAAAAATGATCAAATGATAAGCCAAACAAATTCATACAAATAGATCTAAAAAGTAAAACGATAAATGGCAACAATGTATGTATAACGTCAAGTATGTATGTATAACGTCAAGTATCTGAAACTCTCTCATAATCCAAAGACTCTCAAAAATTTTTATAAACACTACCTATGATAATGAAAAAACAATCTCTCGAATCCATAAAAAATTATCACCAATATGTTCCAAGAAGTGGATATTCTTTTCAAAACTAGGTTCCCTTCAAACAAAAAAGTAGAGAACAGTTTCCTTTTTCTTTACTTTTTGAAATTTGTGTTCATCGGAGAGCACTTAATTAATTCTAATAATAATAATGAGAACGTAATAGTTTTAACTAAAGAGTGAGTGCATATGAATTATAAATATATAAATGGATGAATAAAGAAGTCATATATACGAGACAGAGGAAGGAAGAAAAGAAAAGAAAAGTTCGAACTGAAATTTATAAAGAAATGAAAAACTATTAAACCATATAGCACGCCGGTTCGGGAAGCAAGTACTTATCTTTATAGTCATCACTCATTGACATACAATAATCATCTCGCTTGCCAGCACGACAGGATACTGGTATTGCTGTAAAGGAGTTGGAATTAAGAGAATAAATAAATATTAATAACTTTATATATATATAAAGTAATAACTTTATATATATAAATATAAAGTAATAACTTTATATATATTAATAACTTTATATATATATATATTTATTTATTCTATATTAATAACTTTATATAT